TCTGCCAGTAACCTCAAGTAAGATCTAGAACAGTTATATATCTAGCAGATGACACATCTTTTCTACTTCCGTTTTTAAAATCTCGGCTTGTCTGGCTGACATCCGATAAGGTTTTGCGCATATTTGTCCTTCTGCTTCCAATTCTATATCATGTAAGGTCAGTACATCCTGTTGATATTGTTGATATACAATTGATATACAAGTATGCCTCAATTGATATACAAGTATGCCTGTATTATCGCTAATACTTGTATATCAATTGCTTTAAATCTTTTCGTTGGTCTTCAGATAATAGTGAATTCAACTGGATGCCTTGCAAAACTCAGACATTTCAGTATCTGCACTATAATTTAGACTCGGTATTTCATCTTCATAGCCGCTTATCCTGTCTTCTAAACATAGCAAGTTTATATTTTCTGCTCGTTGAAAATATGGTATCAGCATATTAATATGGTACACTTGAGTTTATTTTTCTCGGGAAATTTGACTACATAATTCGTCTCTGATTATTGTTGCAACTATTTTTCCAGGACCTACCCATTTAACTGATAGTTTGTTTGGCTTCGAGGGAGCTACAACTAAGTCTCCTTCTTGAAGTTTATGTTCTACCGCTGTGCGATCATACCAGAGTTTTTGCTTTTCTTTCGTTTCTTCCATATGCTGGACAGCTAGTCCTTGAAATTTCCTCATTCGATTCATTAGTTAAAAAATATAGTCCACTACTGCATTTTCTTCCTCTTCTTTACCAGATAATTTTTCGTACAATAGTATAATTGGAATTCTTAAGTTTCTGGCATGAACTAATTCTGCGGGCGAGAAACATGTACTATCCTGAATAGTCGTTCGAAGAGCAAATAAAGCCTGAGGTAAGATTTTATCCCAGTCCGGACCAGATTCTAGACATAGGACTCGACGAATTCTTTTTAAGGTTCTATGCATCCTCTCTACAGGATTGCTTTGTGGGTGGTAAACAGGACTTTGTACAACATTTAATTCCGAATTTTTCTAGGAAATTCGATGTCAGCGCACTCATAAAAGATGTGGCTTGATCAGTTTGGACCTCCTTTGGAATCCATTCAACTAAAAATTTGAAGGAATACATCAACAATCGTGGTTGAACAAAGATTTGCGACAGGAACTGCATTCGGATATTTTGAAGACATGCAGTTATAAGATACTTATTTCCTGAAGGTGTCACGGGCGGAGGCTCACAAGCGTCAGCATTTATTTTTGAAAATATTTCTGTGATAACAGGGACAATTTTCAAAGGTGCTTTCTTTTTATCTTGTGGCTTTCTGATTCTTTGACATTTGTCACAAGTTTTAACAAAATTCTCGACGTCTTTGTAACAATTTGGCCAATAAAAATTTTTGAATAATGCATCTTTGGCCTTTGTTGCACCAAGATGGGCTGCTGTTTCTTCATGACAAATAGTCATTAACTGTTTCCGACATATTTCAGGAACAACAATCGATAGTCTTCATGTTCCATCACGATCTTCTTTTTTGAAAAAGAGCATTTGGCCTTTCGACATATACCTTGTACTTTTAGAAGATTTTATTTTAGCTTCTTCATAAATTGACTTTAATTCAACGCTCTCCTTCTGTTCTTGTATAAATATTTCTTGAGAGGCCTTTATCAGATTTAATTCTGAACGTTCATATTTCACAGCACGCAAATTTTCATTTTCAGTCAATGTGTCTTTGTCATTAATTTCAGAATTTAACTCATTTGTTGAGACCAGATTTTCCGTTTCTTTTAGTTGTCGCTGTTGAGTACGAGTTACGAGTTTATACGACGTTTATCATATGAATTTGAACTTCTTCCTCTAGTTTTGCTTCTTCAAATAATGCAGCGGCTTTGTTACCTAGAAGATATCTCCCTTGATCTAATGAATCTCTTAAGACTGCAGCCTTTGTTATTATAGGACCAAGATCATATTCAAGCTCTACCTCAGCCAAAGGTAAGCACACTGGATGTTCTTCCAGAGGTGTTAGTATCTACACGGTCTCACCCGTATACATGGAAGGCTGTACATACTTTTGGCAAATTAAATCCAAAGTTGCACCAGTATCTCTGTATGGCCATTTTATAGCCATTTACTTTACCTAGGCTGGTAGGTGGAGGCATAATATCCTTAAAACTATTTTGGGAAAATTCATTTGATGGTACAGTTTCATTGGATGCTTCAGTTTCTAAATTCTTCTTGAGTTTAACCCTATGATGTCAAAGATGCAAGTAAGATCTGCATTCATAACAACGAGGTTGTTTCATGAATTTTATTAGTACATTCTATCCTAATTATAGGTTTAGGATTAAAAGCTTTCAAGATTTTTTTAGGATTATATCTATTATTATTATTATTATTATTTTATTATTGCATTATTGCATTTTGTTCACATTTTGACGACTTTCTTGAAGTTTCAAAACTTGTTTTCTAGGTTTTTCCCTCTTAAAGCTCTGTTTAATACCCTCATACTAATAAGAGTGCTAGCTAATTTTTCTGCTAGCTCATATGGAGTTTCTAATTTCATCCCTTAGTCGAGAAAATGATCCTTTACTTCCATGGGAAACCCTATATTTAATTTGCTCGGTAACTATTAAATCTTTCATATTCTCAAATTTCTTAATTTCTAAATCCACAATCCGCTCCAAAAAATGACTATAAAGTTCATGAGCATAATTTCTCCAAGATTTTTCAGGAGTTTTTTTATGTCGATAAAAGCACTGTTTCAGCTTTACTCTGTTAAGTTTATATCTTCTTAAGATTAGATTGTTCACATATTCGTACTTAGTCGCATCTTCAGATGGTTCTCTGGCTAACAAATTGGAGATTTCGGTGGGTAAAACACCCAAAAGATAAGCCACCCAATCATTCTTAGGAACCTGAGCCATTTCAGCTTTTCTCTCGAAATTTATCAAATATAGTCCCATTTCATCCCTTTTTTCGTCAAACTTTGGAGTAATTTGTGACAACTGGATTTTGTTGCTTGATTTTACTGTATTCGCTGTTGATTCTCTAGCTCGTATTACTTAATTTTCAATTTCAACCCGCTTTATATCCAATTCATATGCCCTTGCTTCTCAAGCCAGACGTTCTTCTCTCGCTTCTTGAGCTAGGCGTTCTTCTCTCGCTTCTTGAGCAGGCGTTCTTCTCGAACCAGGTGTTCAGCAATTATTCGGTTTAGAATTAATTTAACTTCTTCCTCATGGTAAAACTGACTTTCAGTGATTATCTTTTTAATTTTTGGGACCTTACTAATTAGCAGCACTTCTTTGACTACTTCTATTAAATCTTGTTTTCTTCCTTTGGCAAAAAAATGACATGTTTAGAAATAGAAAAACTCTTCAACACTGTTTCAAAAGGCTTTTAGTCAATATTCAAAAATTCAAATCAACTTTCTCAATCTAGCCTTTTTTTATTAGAAATTCAAGTATGACACAACATATTTTTTTTTTCCTAAAACACTTAATGCAGTAAAACGTATGTGCTTTCCAATAAACAAAAATCTGCGAAGCGTGCTCTTAATGTTATACTAAAGTAAATTAAAAAAATTCAAGCCTCTAAATTGATTCACACAAAATTCTTGATTTGGGTCTGTAAAAAAAGAGCTCAAATTTCATAATAGAAATATTCTACTATTAACTTAGTAAATTTAGTAAAAATTTGATAGGGAATATATTTTAGCATATGATTCTCACAGCGTAAAGAAAAGGTGATAATGAACTTGATTGCAGAATTCATATGTACTGAAATGCTGATTTGGGATTACCAAGAAAACATCTCTCTTAAATGTTATCATCTGCAGTAAGTAAGCTGAACTAACAAATGGGAAAATACATCTATAAAGTAAACTATTTCTGAAAAGAAATGTAAGCATGAAAAACCCTGCATCTACCTTCTTTGCAGTATTTTCTTCAAATGAATAGGTAATTGCAAACAAAGGAACAACTTATGTAGACATTACAAAGTAGTGAGACCACTCAGGTTTTTATCCCTCTGGGGGATAGTATGAATGCAATTGAAAAATCCTTATCAGAGAATGTTTTTCATGGGTTATTTGACAATGCCTTGAGCAGAAAGAGGGATAAAAGTAAAGGGGTTAAAATGACCCCCTTCTGCCGTTCTAGGAATACATGCCAATATTTCAAAAACTAACAAACCTATAATGCTGAAAATTTTTTTACAAATATTTGTTATCTATTTAGGAAAAGTCAAAAAATTCCAAATGATTTCTTCTAATAAAACAAAAGTAATCAATAGGCAAAATGACTCCTACCGCTGTTCTAGTGTTAAAGTATGGAATACCCAGGCATCATGATGGCTTATATATCCAATTTTTTTCAATTTATCATGTACTGTATTTTTTTAATTAGTCTCTGATAGTTCCTGAACTATATAATGTGGATTTTCAGGTATAGCTTCTTTTAATATGGCCTTGTTTACAGAGGATGGTCTTCCAAAGTGGGCATTGATTCCAAGTCTTAAATTTCCATGCTTGTTCTTTACCTTTGAATTGTGTTATCAAAAACTGCACTTTGTCCATATACAGCAGAAATTTTATGAGTAGTCTGAAATTTCCCCTTTTTTAAAATTAAGGAATATAATATGACAAATCACAATACTAACTAGAATTACACAATGCAAGTAGAAATGATTGCATTTAAATACGTTTTTATAAATAATAGCGTTTTGATGAGTTTCACTCCTTATCAGCAGTAACAAAATAATAATAAAAAAACCCACTGTAACCTGAAAAATCTATGATTTTTCGATTTTTCAGATGTTTCAATATTTATAACTCTGTTAACAGTCTTGTGAAGAGGCAGACATTTGAAATTGTATGTCATCGCATTAAAAAATTCATAAGTTAATGCATATGGTAATTTTAAAATGCTATTTATTTTTGTGTTTATGAAATATAAACTGATGTATATGTGTTTTAATTTTAAATAACCTGTATGATTTTCGATATTATTTATTTAATTGGGATCGATAGATTGAAAAACACCACCAAAAGACTTCGCGTGCTACAGGTTCTGCTGATGATGCTGCAAAACATGAAGAGGTAAGTTCCAGAAATATATTATCCGGAAAAAATCTCTCCGGAATCGGTGAAATCCCATTGCTGCCGGTTATGAGAGATTCTACTGTACTTCAATATCGCTGCTTTTTTTATATTGAAGGAATTGTACATGAAATCAACAGTATTTTATTTGTTTACAATCATAAATAATTTTATTTTTAAATTTACTATAATTTGTTTAATTTTCTAAGAGAATTTTAAAAGCCAATAAATAATTTACTCATTAAGTAAATTTTTAGTATATAACAATGATTCCTTACCCTTATTAGTTTTCATATTAATATTTTAATTTAGAGTATAAAAATAAATATTGTATCTCAGTTTCATGTAAATTGCATACTGAGTGTAATGGTCGGGCGTTAAGTATTCTTAAATATCATTGTTTATTACTATTATGGAGGGGATATTTCTTAGTGTTTATTACTATTATGGGGGGATATTTCTCAGAAGTTCATATTTTACCTTAATTAATTAGTTTGTAATAATATGATTTTGACTCACTAGTGGGCTAGTAGTTAAGAGGAGATCATTTTTTCTATGAGTCATTATATCAAGACAGTTGAGAGTCCTACAAACACTTGCAAAACGCATAAATACAGTACAAAGTCCAAAATCAGGATAGCCAACCTTTTTTTTTTTTTTTTTCCTTCTGTATAAAATTAGGGAAATGAAAATATAATACTCAAGGAAAAGCAGGTGTCCTGTAAAAGCAGACTGAAATTCTTCTCTGCATGTCACTTTCAAATGCCTGCTGGCTAGGATATCAGTCACTCCATGACCAATAATAATATGTTAATTGACATTGGCCATTACCACACTTTAGGCCCTTGAGCGATTGTAGTGATTTAGCACAAGAAGTGAAACTATAAGACATATATGTTTGGGATGAGATGTTACTCATACTGGTTTTCTTTTCCTTTTGGGGATAGCATCAGAGAAGGGAGAAAGATTTCAAGGAATTAAAAAAAGTTCATTTAATATAGTAAATTGTGCTCTTTCTTAACTTTCTGCAGGCCATTATTATAACAGTATCTTTATAAAATTAAAGTTTAAATTTTTGATTAATGTTGAAAAGAGTTTCAAATTATAAAGCTTCAGCAGCATCTGCAAAACAAAAGAATTTTTAATGTCAAGCAAGCAAAAAGTAGAATAACCGTAAAAAATGGATAAAGGGATATCTGTTATAATTATGCAAAGAGACAAAAGTACTTTTTTGAATTTTTCGTAGATTTTGACACTGCACTTGCAATGAATAACAGAAAAATCATTCATTGTGCTAAAAGTGTTGATTGAATGGGTGAGACATACTTCGTAGGGAGGACATGCCATAACAGATTCAGTGCTAATGGTTCAAGCGAATCTATTATATGAGGAAATAGACTTAAAACTGAGTTCACATATTTGACAGATTGGTTAACCAGATTTAAAAATGATTATGGTATAAGGCAGTTAAATATTTCAGGTAAGAAAGCTTTAGCTGATACTGAACAGTTTGCTGTTGATTTCATAGAACTTGTTAATTGTAAAAAGTTATTTCCAAAGCAAATTTATAAATAATAAAACTGCAACAAGGAAAAATTTGAAGTAGCTACAATACTGAAGAAACCAGCTGTTATATTTCCTCAAGAATCTGAAGTAGTATATGCGATTTTTATTAATTTCGTCTGAGAATTAAAAACTAATTCCTCTTTATTATGTGATATATATTTTAGTTTTTGTTATCTTTATGTCTATGAGTTAGTGTGTGTGTATCTTGGTATGTTTATATCCAGAATATCTTTGTGATTAGGGCAGAAAGGTCTCATCTGGTATCAAAGATTCAAAAGTAAGATTAATAGTTTTGTCATGTTCATGTGTAGCAAAAATATGCAAATGTAAACTTTTCAGAATCAGAAAAAATATACACTGTTGGGTATTTAAAGGAATGAGTATTTCCTCTGTAATCTGTCATTCAGATAAGAGTATGCATGAAATTCATAAATTACATCCAACATTAATGGATGATTAGTCTGAAAATCATTCCATGCAGGAGGCTTAGAAACATTTGAAATTACTTGGTTTACCAGGTAGTGCAAAAATGTTCTGATCATAGATAATTGTCCATACTGTACTTTAAAGATCTAGTAAAGATAATATCTCTCTCTAATTTTTCCCCTCCAAATTGTACATTCATCATTCAGCAAATGAATATTAGAGTGCTGTATGTGCAGGGATGCAAATATAAAGCAGCCTTTTTAGAATCTTTGCTGAATTTTCTGAACCATGCAAGATCATTCAAAAACATTAAATCTGCTGTGTGTGGATAGCTACCATATTTCTCGATGGTTATGATGATGAAGCTGCAATTTTTTTTTTTAATTACAAGCAAAAGGTGTAATTTTCTGATTAATGGAATTTACATAGAAATCTGGAAATGTAATAATAAATGAAGATAATATAACAGAAGGGTAAAAGTATATTTTAGGGTACCCCTTGGCGATTTTTGACGGTACATGGATACCGAGTTAATGCTATTCTTTGACTTATTATTTTGGCTAATCCACTACACAAAGCCAAAATAACAAGACAAAGAATTGCACAAACTCTGTATCCATGTACACATTGACCTATTTTACTTTAAAAAAAAAAATCCCCGAATTGCACAAACTTGCATTGTGCACTCCCTTCACTTTGTCCATGTACACATCAATATATTTTCACTTAAAAGTCAAAGGAGCACCCAATTCTACAATACAGGCAAACAAAAAATACATAATCTCAGTAAACTACATTTTTAACCAAAGAATAACATAAAAAAGGAAAAACATGCTATACATTTTAGCATTACAAAAAGCAAATATCCACTTACCCTATTTAGAAGTTCCTTTGTCTTTAGTCTGTGGCACACAAAATTCCTTAACAGCATCCAAAAACTTCCTAAACTTATCTGAACTCGAATCCATATATCGGCATCGCCACATCTGAACCTTTTCTTCGTACAAACACATTCAAATCCATCTAAACGGTTTTTACGTTCAACTAGACGCATGTCCTTCCTACATAAAGGACACTTATATAGGCTACTAAGTAAACCTTCATTTACACACCAGTCAATTAACGCTCTTTTACCCTTTCATTCCAAATCATACAGTAACTTCAAATTAATCTTACTACATTCAGCCATTCTACCGTCTAAACAATAAAACCAACACACACCATAAAAGCGAACAAAAAATCCCACGATTCAAAATTTCCCACAATCATGCACCCGATTATGTCACAATAGGGTTTCCATAATATTCAACTACTCAGGCTACCATAAATGAAACAACTTGATGATAAATGAAACAACAACTTCACCATAATACAAGGGGTACCTTAAAGTCTACTCTAACCAACATAAGTTTTCTATTATTGATGATAATACCCTATTCATCAATCGACTATGGGTCTGTTCAGACAGTGATATAGATATCATAGGCATAAAATGCAGGAGTTCCGTTAACACTTTTGAGATGAGGTTTAAGCTGTAGCCAGTTTCAGAAGCTAAATTTGTGCATGTGTGAATATGCCTACAGCTTTTTCGTTCAATAGGTTTCTCACATTCACTCTGGTTAGTTTACTCTTATACTAAGTTGACATAAAGTTGAAATAATGCCAAAACCTGTAAACCAGTTATGACATTTATACTACAATCTGAATGGAGCCTTATGGATAACAAAATCTGTTGTATCGTTTTGAATCCTGTTTGGAACTATATTGCTCAGCCGATAAAGAACATCCTCCTGAAATCTTGTACTATATGATACTTCTATCTGGAGACTCTAGAACTTCAATATCTGAAATCTGACTGGTGTAGAGTATATACCAATGAATTGTGTTCAGTCATTTCACCAAATGTCAATGCTGGTGTGTCTTGTGAATTATTCGCATTTTATATTCCTATCAGACATTTTGGAATTACTTTTCATGGTGAGATATCTGCTGTTATGGTAGCTGTACAACAACTTCTGATTAGGAATTTGACTTCTGTTAAGGTTATGATACTGTCTGACTTGAAGGCAGCTATTCAAGCTGTTGCTTCTGATGCCACAACTACATCTTTAGGTGTATTACAATGTAGAATTTATTTGCAATAGCTCAAGAGAAAGGGCATCTACTTTACCATTCTGTGGATCTCAGCCCACTCTTATGTATGGTAATGAACAACTCAATCTGTTAGCTAAAAAGGGATCCATGGTTCCACAGATGATTAAAAATGAGATTTCTTTTCCAATTGCTAAAAGTAGAAATTCTACAAAGAGTGCTGATTGGCTTCGTCCTACAGCTCTGGTGACATTGTGACTAATACTGGGTATGATTGTTTGGCAGTGCACCTGTTTTCTATAGGTAACCTGCCCGCTATGCAGCAATGGTATTATGGATAGAGACCGTCTTAGGCAGTTAATTGCGATTCATGAAAAATCTGAGACTAAGCTATACTGTTTTCTGAGACTGTGCATGACTCAGTGACATCTGTATTCTTTTATGTTATCTTGTTCAAGTACTTTACCACTGGAAATAATAATAATAATAATAATAAAATGTTTAAAATCCAGAAGACATTACTACCAATAGTGAAGAAAGCGACAAAGAGGTTGTTGAGAATGAAAGAATTTTGATTGACAGTTTAGTAATAATTGGCAAGGCTGCAATTGCAGGACTTAATGGAACTTTGTAACTGAGCAAGAAACTTGTGGTCATAAATGCTTCATTATTTTATAAACAGCTATTTAACATTTTTTATTTTGTAATTGCTGTGTCATCTTGCTATATTTAAATTGATGATATAAAATTTGTAAATATCTAAAATCCAGAATTGCCGAAGTTTTGACGATTCCAGATCTTGGCCTTTGTACTGTATTAAGATTTTTAAGAGAAGACTGTAACGAGTGCTTGAATTAACAGAATTTTAGTTATGGATCAGAGTCAAAAACATTTAAATACTATTTTATTTTGATTTTTTTAAAAGAAACAGGTATTTATAACAATTATATCAGTGTGAATGTTTTTCAAAGAATTATTAAACAGTGTTTCTCAGGAAAGGGGTTTTCTTTCTTGTGGAATGAAAGAATTATTGAGAATTGAAAACTGTAATGTATAATTTAATGTTTGAGAAAATAATTTCTTTTCACTAACATTTGAATACAAAATTATGTATATTGACATAGTTAGCTGATGGAAACAAACTGGCAAAATTGAAGACCAGAATCGATATAAATAAATATCCTGCCAACTTGGATTTATTTAATATGCAATATAATAAATTTTGTCATTGTACTTTTCAGAAAAATGTTTTGCTGGAGGCAGAGGCTGAAATGAAGAAAAAATTGAATTTTCTTCAAGAAACAAAAAAGGAACTTAGTAAAACTCTGGCAATGAAAAAACTTGAAGTAGCTACGAAACAAAAGAAAACAGCTGTTGTGCTTCCTCAAGAAACTGAAGTAATATATGTGATTTTATTAATTTCATCAGAAAGTTAAAACTAATACATATTTATTATTTTTTGTTTGTTTGTGAGTATTTCTAATTCATTGTATCATTTCTTTTAACTTAATTTTTCTCAGTTATGTATTTGATATTTCTGATAAAGTTTAGATTTCTCTTATGTTAAATAAGAATGATAAGCTGCATGATACACATGTAGAAATACCTTACAGAAGTAGTTTCTTTAACTAAGAAAATTATGAAGTTGTTACAGCCTCCCTGGTTCTTTATGCATCTTTTGAATGATGATTATATAGCTCTAAAAACTTTGTCTGTTAGACTGAAACACAACACTTTAGATTAGAAATGCTAGCAGCCATCAGTTTTTATTGTTGTAAAAGGTTCCTGTAAAAGTTTCATATTCATTGTTGTAAAAGGTTCTTAAATAGGAATTGCTCTGCATTAGGAAAAATACAGTAACTAAAGAAGCAGGGCTTAGAAGTTTTAAAAATTGATTCTGACAATAGACTCAAGCAATAAGATGTTGCTACTGTTTAAAACTTGGTAAATTGTAGCAAAGATTGAATTCTGTCTTGTTATGTGATAAGAGGTATCTGACATATTTATGTTATAATAATCATATCACATAATAAGTAGTACATTATTATACAGACTATATGACATATTGTGCATGCCTTATATCAGGAGTATGTATAGCATAATTCAAGAAGTTCAAAATTTTCACTTTTAAAAGAGAATTTTTGAGTGCAGTTGAATATTTTGACTTGCTTCAGAAACCTTTAAAATGTCATTAATTGAATAAGATGTTGCTAGTTGTCACCAAATTTTAACACTAAGTACGCAGACTCCAAAAATAAAAACTAAATCTGTTGTCTGAATTAAACTAAAAATAGAAATTGCAAGAAAATTACAGTAGAGTCCTGATTATCTGACTTAAATGACCAATGGTGTGGTCAGATGACGTGAAACATAACAAATATGACATTTAAAGCTTTAAAGAAATTGCAGATTTATGCTGTATGTATACTGTACTGATTTATACTCTATGACAGAGAACTGTAAAGAACAGTCATACCGAATGAAAAAGAGCTGATATTTGGCTTTTGTTTGCCAGCTGTTTGATGTTTTCTTCCAACTAAATCTCACAATCTCTTGCAGAAGTAAAAACTTCACTAATGAAGTCTCCTCCACCTGCTTCACATATTTCAGTGCTATCTCCAGGACCGTGTGTCCTTGGATATGAGAAAGTCTGTCCCTGTAAATAACTTTTTTTGCTTCATTCTGCCATTCACTGCTTCATCATCATTACATTCTGTATCTTTGTTGTTCAGAATTAGAGAGATTTCTTGCTCTGTCACTTCATGTTCCTTATCTTGAGAAATCCATTCTTTCAAGTCACTTAATAAAGTGTGTCAATGTAATAAGTCAACAATAAAGTATGAATACTCGTGGGCATTCAAGAATTTGTGATTTTCTCCTGCTGAGCAGATCAGATGATCAGGACTCAACTGTATTTACATAATTTCTTCCCAGCATTGTATTTGGTAGTTAAAATTTCATAATGTTTACTTTCTTTACCTGTATATGCTAATTCTAACATTTTGTCTTTTGCTGTCTTATTGGAAGATAAGAATTCCCAAATTCTATAGTGGGTCTTAAATGATTGGGTAATTCAAATAAAAATTAAATTGCATATTGAATATGATAAACTCTTCTTACTCTTAAAAATTGTAGTAATGTTCGATACCATTGACCATTTATATTTATGTATGAAATATTCTGACTTAACCATCATTAAGTCATCATTTAAGTTTAGAGCAAAGTTATCATATGAAAAATTTCCATTTAATCATAATTTTAGCTCATCATACTCCACTGGCTTTGTTAGGGGTATTTGAAAGTTATATGCACCACAATGATGCATATAACTTTTATGTGCATCTAACAAATGCATGTGAAGTTTAATTATTTGATTGAACCCAAAATTCTGAAAGAAGCTGCCAGTCTTCAATGCCAGTCTTTCAATTTACCTGTTGGTCATGAATAGTGCTGTATTAAAGAAAATGGTAATCATATAGTATGTAATCTACTGATTTTAGTTAGTTATTTTTTAGGCGGCAGAACTAAATTTGGTTGATGTTTTACCGTATTTGATGGCATATAAGACGCACTGACATATAAGATGCACCCTTATTTAGAAGACCATACACAAGGAAAAAAAGTTTCAATAACTTAAAATGTGGTTTCTTTTAGTTCTCACGTTTATACAGAGTAGCACCGATACCGACACATGTGTCGGCTGAGTCAAAGAAAGTCTATGTAAAGAAGGAAACGCTGCATAGACGTAACGTGACCGTCGAACCTGTTTGAACTTTGGCATCAGCTTCGAGCTTTGCCACTTTTTGGCGATAGATATTTCACTCATGCGTAAAATAATTATGGCAGATGTAGAAAAAGTTATGTGTGTCAGACCTTTATCCGGGCTAAAAATAGCATTCATTATTGAAAGTTAACCTGTGTCCTTCACGTATAAGACGCAAATAACTTTTTTGAGACCAAATTTAGGAAAAAAAGTGCGTCTTATATGCTGTCAAATATGGTAATCATTTTTTTTTCTTCTCAATTTTATCATTGTTTGAATTTAAAACAAGCATTTTAATGGTGCTATCTAAGAAATAACTAAGAGCATTAGCTTGTGTACTTCATGATTACCCAGAAAACGATGATCATGAACGTTACCAATTCATGGAGTGCAGTGGCTTAAACATTTGTCATGAGGAGGCTGTTGTTTAGTGAAATATTGAGAAATGCTGATTGAATTCATTTTCTGAATCTTTGGGAATACACAACTAGTGTTCATTGTAGTTTAAATTGTGAATGCTTTAAAATAAAAATTTGTTGAATTCCCTTAAAGAAAAGGCAAAACTCAGTGTGAGCATGCTGGAATAAATTAATACTAATTATCTGCCAAGCATGTGCATAAATTCATGAATTAGAGATTATTTGTAACAATTTTTAACATCTTTCTCGGGTACTAAAACCAGACAATTCACTTAAGCTTATTGTATCACTTCTGTATTTTAGTACATTAGGCAAAATTAAATGGTAAGTTTGGGGAGGTAAATAGGTTTATTAATGTCATGAACTTACTATTATTTTATTTACTTGCATATTTTCCCCTTAGAGCAAAGTTTTGAAAAATGTTTATATATTTTTGTAATTTTTTCCTTCAAGTTATCCAGAAAGCAAGCTCTCTAAATTTTGAAATGAATATATGCATGCAGTGTTATTTTCATCTTACTAACTGATTTGCTTCTGGATTTTGAGTGCATGGTCTTTGATTGATGAAGCATTTGTAGTGACAGCACTGAATAAATTGAGGCCATTGAGATAGTTGTGAATAACAATAAGAGTGAGAGAGATTCAAAATACAGTTAAGCCAGATATGAAAATATTAGTATGTTAATATTACAATGTATTCATATGAGAATATATGTTTTTTTAATAAATAATAATGCCATACATAATGGTAATTTAAGCCTGAATACTTTTCATTTGTTATGGTTTTACTATTAATTACTATTATTTCGGGAATTAAATTATTCACAATTTTCTCCTCATGGTTATCTTATAATAAAATAATAGATAGGGGAGAAAAAATATATGAATAAGTAAGGTATTTTATTTTAATTTAATGTGATTAATATTGCTGAAAGGAGATTAAGTATCACTTTTCACGGATGGTTTTTCAAATCTTTTCCATTATAGAACAACACATGTCAAATAATTTTCTGGTGAAAGTTATATAACAATTTGATACTTCCGTTGAGGAAAAATATTTTTTCATCTGCTCATTTTGGCTGTGGTAAAATGTTTTCTAAACTTAAAAAATAAAAAATAAATTTTAAACAACTTTTATTGATAATACTTACTTTAAAAATAAAATGAACAGCAGAAACTGATAGCAGCAATTTAATTAAATTTATTTTGCTTATTTTTGTATTAATCAATTATTCTTTGGTTATTGTTTTCTTTGAAAGTGCTATGTTTTTTATGCTTATAGGTGTATAGACATATACATTCCTTAACGGTATAAGTTTGTGAGGCATTTTATTACTTGAACAAATGTTTTGCTAATAATTTAATCTCTTCAATTACAGAATGTTATCAGTCATCGAGATCCACGACTAAAGAAAACTGTTGTGGCACCTCAAGAAGTGACTACGATAGCAACAAATAAACTGAACTCAACTTCATCTACTCTTCAGTCTGTTGTAGTTGTGCCAAATACTAAAATTCCTACTCATAATTTAACAAATATTGACAATTCCTTAAGTGGTTCTGAGAATCTTATCCCTAAAGTTAAGCCTGTACAAAATGTAATAAACTCAGGGAATAGTAAAGGATCACATTTATCATTAACTGATAAAAATGACCCGACTTCTATTACTGGAGATTCTGAGAAAGTTCAAGATATAGCCATTAATAAACATTTAAGAAGTGAAACAAATAAAGATATTATTAATCGGGAAAGTGAAATATTAAACAAAGATCATCCATCAAAAAGGTTCAAAAGTAGTAAGTATAATAATGATATAAATAGAAAAAGGCATTTAAGTCCTGTAAATGATTTAACATCTGGGCGTTCCTCGCCTAAAGTTATCTGTAAAGAACACTGTTCTGCCACATTAAGGACATATAACAATAAAATGCAGAATTCATTAGAGAAGGAAAATAGTACAGAAATGAAATCAAACATAAAACATTCTGTTGTTGACAAAGGTTTTCAATCTGTAAATTCATTAACAGTTGATCATCTGTTAAAAAATGAATCTGATCCAGAAGGAAAAAAGTCATACTGCTCAGACTCTAGGCAAGTATTTAAAATCTTTGTTATTTCATATTTTTTATATTAAAAAAACTAAATTTATGTTTTGTCACTTTGATATATATTAAGGAATTTTCAAAAGTTGTAATCAAAAATTAAATCCAACTAACAGCTTACTTAAAACTTTATATGTAACTCTCCTAGCCTTAGTTTCCCTGCATATTTAAATCTTATTTGTATTTGATGATTATTTTTATTAATTTTTACTTATACCTTAATGCATTTAAAATGTTTTATTGCTTATATATTCATGTTAATTCTTTTCATATAAATGCTTAACATTTTTATATGGGATTTAATAATTTATTAATTTTGTTTGTATTACACAGCACGCTTCAGCCTCCTGCTCTTGGTAGCAAAGATAAAGACTATAGATTGCTGAGGAATGACAGGGACTATAAATTAAATCAGTTGCATAGCCAGGCTGGACATCCATCTAATTATAAAAGTAACTATGTCTTCAGTGTTTGTGTTAATTTTTTGGGGGGGGGGATCTATTCTTGCTTTGTGTAAAAATGTGTATATATGTCAAAAAAAAAAAAAAAAAAAAAAAAAAAAAAAAAAAAAAAAATTCTTCATCATAAAGCGAGAAAACTGTTTCCCTGTGAAATCCAGTGCATTAGAAAAGTAGAATCTGAAAATTATAAAAGAACTGAGCATATTAACAAAATATGTGATGCTATATCATATGTGAACTTACTTGTTGGTGCAACCTTATGATTAAAAATTAGTCCTGAAATTATTCATGGAGGGTTTCCATTCTTTGGGCTGGGTAGGTCAGGGAGTGGAAAATTAGATTTTTTTTTTAAAAAAAACGTCGTAAAATCGGAACATTTTCTAAAAAGTGTCTTAATTCACCCTTTCAGGTTTTAAGATATTCCTCTTGTGTATACAATCAATTAAAAAAAAAAATTATCTTCAGAAGAAAACAAGTTGTTCTGAACGATGTAGTACTTAGCTGAAGTTGGCTGCTAGTTTATCTTTTTCCTTCCTAGTATCTTTCCATTTTTTATGAGTGTAATATCAATTTAACCTGAGTAATGCTATTGATGATAAGCGCTGAGTGACTTATGGTTTAGCCATTCCTAACAAATGATTCAAGAGCAAATGGTTTTTAACTAGATGGAGAATTTCATAGTTTTTTGTGCGAAATGAAATGAGCATTTTATTTACTTGTTGGCTCTGTTTTATAAATAAAAAAAATGCTTTTATTTAAGTTTTAATTTATAAAATTCATCAAAAATAACCTAAATGTTGATTGATAAAACTTAGTTTGAAAGGAATGTGCATTAAAGGTTTGTAATTAAATTTTTATAGTTGGGAACGATGGCTTTTCCTTGTCAAAAGGCCCTGATGTCAAAAACCAACCCTTTGAATATAGGTAAATGATTTTATTTTTTTCGTTTGCTTTTGTGTTTACTGTATCATTTACATAGTCAAAAGTCTTTAATCTGGACTCTCCAAGACTTCGGCAATTCCAGATTATCGGTTTTTCCGGATTATAGATCATCAGTTTAAATCTGGTAAGATGGCATGCAGAAATTATAAAATTAAAAATATGAAACCATAATTTATGAAATAAAGAGTAATTATGATCTAAAGGGTATCAAAATTAAAAAAAAAAAAAGAAAAAAAAAGCTTAATATTTATTTGTTTACTTTATTAAACATTTCTGTTAACGCTCGTATGCGTAAAGTATACATTATGCATAGTCGAAATTAGAAAATTGCAATCAGAAAACTATTTGATGTGTATTCGTGATATTTATAATGGCAAGGAATTTGATTTAAATCATATCAAAGACGGAGTACATCGAGATGAAATACTACAGTTAGTAAGGAATTATAAGCCAAAATGATGCTAAAGCAAAGTTTATAAAGTTAAACATTTTAGCAATAGTAGCAATAAAAGCTCCCTGAGATAATATGTTGTGCAGACATTGAAGACAATAAAAATGTTTCAAACTTAACCAATTTATTAACAATATAATAAAGAATAAAAACACAGAAAATAAATTTAAACAATATCAGAGTCTTAGGAAAAATATAATATAACCATCATTTATCAAATAATATTTTTACCTGTTCTCCAAAAACAATGGCATTCAATACAAACAAAAATGTCCTAAACAGTAATTATGCGGCCTTAAAATGAAATTGGCTGCAAATTCAAAAAGTCCATGATCAATGGTCAAGAAAACACCTGAAATTTAAATCAAGTTCTTGAAAGCACTCAAAACCGGTGTAACTCCGTTTGCATTAGTTGAACATGAGGAATAGCCGCTCATGTATTTTAAATGCCACCTTTGTGAAGAACGTGGATGCCGCCCACGGCAGTCACTCACATTGTAGCTTCTGGAACCAAGGAATTTATTCTTGGAAGGTCATCTTGTAGACAGGAACCAAGGATCTTATTCAGGAACAGTTATCTTGTGGACAGGAACCAAGGAACTTTATTCAGAAACAGTCATCTTGTGGACAGGAACCAAGGAACTTTATTCAGGAACAGTCGTCTTGTGAACAGGAACCAAGGAACTTTATCCACCGGACTGCATGCATCCTTCAAAAGGGGCTGGAAACTGCACACCCAAGTGCCAGGAAAGCAGGAACTAGAAGGGTTGAGCCAGAGCGACGCGAGATACTTATAGCAGAAGTAGGCATGACGTCATCTCACGGCAACCAATTCAGCTATCGGCATGACTTGCCTTTCCAGATGACGTAACATCTCGTTTCGTTTTTGCATCTTCAATTAGGTTGAAATAGTCCGTTCTCAACACAAACAGTGGTCAGTGAGAAAAAGTAAAATTAGAAGTAACTACTTATATCCACTTTAAAATAATAACTAAGCCTAAATAAACATTTCAAGGAGGAGAGATGATGCAGTAAAAGGTTTACAATAAGTTATATTTTCCAACACAAATAAAATAAAAACATCTGCCCTGAAGATAAGGATAGTGCCGACAGATCAACTTCCAGTTGGTTGCGCATGCGCGACGTCTCCCTCCCTGCAGAGCAACGTGAAATTGGTAAACATATTTCGGAATGGTTAGAGAAATAAAGGATATGCCTTTATCCATTTTTTGTAGCAATTCCACTTTTTGTTTGATGGACATTGAAACATGCTTTTGCTTTGTAGATCCTTTGGCAGCTCCAGAATCGGAAATTCTTTTCGGCATAATCGAAAGTTCAAGCTTACTTTTATAAAAATGCTCTAACAGTCTGCAAAAAATAATAAGCGGGATCCAATTAGAAGAGTAAGGAACAACGCAATCTGCAACATTAACTGAAATAGATAATTAGATCATTTTAGCCTAGCTTATACCGTCTGTTATACATTAAATGCGCATGTGTTATGCGTTTACGCATGCGCAGAAAGTTTGTAGCTTTGAGGTCTGGATTATAGATCATTCCGGATTATGTACGTCTGGATTAAAGACTTTTGACTGTATAATACATTGTATCATTTATATGATATTTAACTCCCCAAATTGATATTGAATATATTTCAGAGACCACAGAAAGTTATATTCATATGTTACTTCTGTAATGGATAATCCATACACTATCATGCATCAGGCAGAAGAAAAATACCGAAGTGGAAGAATTTCTAAATATGAATATGATGAATTATGTCGTGATATGCATCAAATGATGGATAGTGAGGAATTTCATCATATTATACCTTTTGGTGTTAATGTAAGAATCTGCAAATTAAGTTTTCTTTTTAAATTGTATTTCTAAATTTAAAGTGAATTTTTTCTTAAATTTTTAATAAATTTTCTCTTTAGGACAAACCATTAACTGTAGAAGCAAGAAATTCTCCAAATTTTATGAAATCTTATGAAGAGGATAGGCAGAATTTTAAACCTTTAAATGTGCATCATGGAAAAGGTAAACTTTAACACTTGCTTTAGAATCTGTTTTATATATATATATATATACAGTCAAAAGTCTTTAATCCGGGATGGCATGCAGAAATTATAAAATTAAAAATATGAAACCATAATTTATGAAATAAAGAGTAATTATAATCTAAAGGGTATCAAAATTTTAAAAAAAAGCTTAATATTTATTTGTTTACTTTATTAAACATTTCTGTCAACGCTTGTATGCGTAAAGCATACATTACGCATAGTCGAAATTAGAAAATTGCAATCAGAAAACTATTTGATGTGTATTCATGATATTTATAATGACGAGGAATTTGATTTAAATCATATCAAAGGAGTACATTGAGATGAAATACTACATTCAGTAAGGAATTTTAAGCCGAATAAAATAAAAACATCTGCCCTGAAGATAAGGATAGTGCCGACAGATCAACTTCCAGTTCGTTGCGCACGCGCAACGTCTTCCTCCCTGCAGAGCAGCGTGAAATTGGTAAACATATTTTGGAATGGTTAGAGAAACAAAGGATATGCCTTTATCCTTTTTTTTTTTTTTTTTGCAGCAATTCCACTTTTTGTTTGATGGACATCGAAACATGCTTTTGCTTTGTAGATCCTTTGGCAGCTCCAGAATCCGAAATTCTTTTCGACATAATCGAAAGTTCAAGCTTACTTTTATAAAAGTGCTCTAACAGTCTGCAAAAAATAAGCCTGATCCAATTCAAAGGTTAAGGAGCAATGCAATTTGCAACATTAACTGAAATAGATAATTAGATAATTTTAGCTTAGCTTATACCGTCCGTTATGCATTAAATGTGCATGCGTACATACATTATGCATTTACACATGTGCAGAAAGTTTGTAGCTTTGAGGTCCGAATTGTAGATCATTCCGGATTATGGACGTCCAGATTAAAGACTTTTGACTGTGCATATATATATACAGTATAGATTCCTCCCTTACAAAGTCTAGGAATGGAAAATATAATACTCAATAAAAGCAAACAATTATACTGTCATTGTTGTTTATCTGTTAACTAAGATATCTGCATGTGATTTTCAAACATCTGCTGTCTGGGGAAGAGTCACATCAAGGCCTTTGATACAGTACAAATTCCGTAATCTGAACTCGTCGGGACTTTGGCAATTCCGGATTAGGGTTTTTTCGGATTATAGTTCATCAATTTAAATCTGGTAAGATGGCATGCAGAAATTATACAATTAAAAATATGAAACCATAATTTATGAAATAACGAGCAACTATGATCTATCAAAATTAAGATCAAAATTTATGAAAAAAAAGCTTAATATTTATTTACTTTATTAAAAAATTTTTTCAATGTAAGTTGCTTCGTTTTTTTGTGCTAATACTTTCTCTTTAATTCTCTAAACAGACATAATTTCTTGTTCAGTTACAAAGTTCCACTGTTCAAGTCCTGTAATTGCTGTGTCGAGAATACCGAAATTTTTTCATTTTCAATAACCTCTCTGTCACTTTATTCACTATCAGAAGTGCGCATGGGTAAACTCTTTATCCACATGTGTATGGGTAAACGCTTTACCCGCATGCCTAGCAGACGCGTGCATTAAAAGCGCATGCGTAAGTTTGTGGCTTTGAGGTCTGGATTGTAGATCTTTCCGGATAATGGACGTCCGGATTACGGACTTTGTACTGTAATACATTGAATTGGCATTATATTGATGTTGGCCAGGATTACACTTAGCCCTGGAATGGTTGGGGATGGGGTTAGCATTTTTCTATTTGACTTAAACAATAAATGAAGCCCTGATATTGCCATGTGTATATTTGATTGTACTAGATTTTAACTGATGATCTAATTGTGATATCTATGCGTGAAGGGAATGTGCTTTATAACAACTTCTTCAAGGCCTTTTATTGGAAGTAAGTAGGGCTGTAGGATATTAATTGCCTCAGTGCATTCTCATTCAAATTTGTTTATTAGTTCAGCCCTAAAAGAACAGTAAAAAGATTTTAAGTGGTGCACTCACATAAAACTCCAAATATGTCTTCTGGCAAAAGTATGAATGTTTTCCTCCGTAATTTACGTATTTCAAATAACATTCTGTGCATAATTTAAAAATACTTGTTTGCAGTTTCAGATATGCTTTATTTTTGACAAATATATATCACAAAGTATCAAGATTTTTTTCAAGGGCAAATAGTTATTAAAATCTGAGTTTATTATATATAGGGTGTTTCAAAACTTATCGTTCAAATTTTGTGGGGAGGTAGGGAAGACGTCAGGGAACTGATGTCATATAGGAAAGTGTGTCCGTAAATGTATGCAAGGGCGCTGTGTGTATCCAACCAGTGTCAGGGTTGCCACTCAAATGGTAGAATGAAATTCCCTGACTTCCAGGAGTGTTTTAAGAAAATTCCAGTTTATCCATTACTGTTCTAAGAGGTAAATTAATTGTGCTACCACTTAAAAACACAAAAATTCATCTGTCACATATGATTATATATATATATATAATCCCCCCTATTATAACTATAATAGGAGTTATTTTTTCCACAGAAGATGTCCAATCTGGATTAAAAAATGTCTTTTTTTTTCCTGACATTTTTCAACTAAAACAAGAAAAATCTGTTTAATGATATTTTTAAAAAAATTCTGATATTTTATATTTATTCAGCAGCATACATAAGCAAAAAAATCTGTGCATTAAATTTCGTAATAGTATGCTATCATACTGCTAGAATTAGTTTCAGGCTTATGCCAGAGAAAATTTCTTGAAATTTGGAAGTATTATTTACTAATAATAAACAACATTAAATGATATGGGTAACATAAAAAAAACTTAAAATTGAATTAGAATAATCAACGATATTTTAGCAAATATAGTTATATTAAATGGTTAGTCTGGATGACTAATTACATTTTTTTATTTTACTGCAAAATGACAAATAAGGCATTTATTAAAAAGAAAAAAAGTTTAAAAGATTTTGGAGTAAAATCCTAGTAGTATACAATTCGATGCCTTTCGAACGATTTTAAAAATTGTCACCAACATCAAAATTACCATTTACTGCTCATCTTCTACTTCTTCTTCAATGGCCAGACAGTCCAGGATGGGCCCTTGCCATTCTCAGAATCGAATTCCAAGCTCTTCTGTCCCTGGCCATGGACATCCAATTGGTTATTTTTAAAATTCTTAAGTCTGTTTCCAAACAGTCGAGCCATCTAAGTTTAGGTCTCCCTCTTTTTCGGGTGTTGAATGGTCTGGTTAAGAAGATCTTTTTAGTTACTTGATTCTCATCCATTCTGCACAGGTGTCCTGCCCATTTAATTCTCTGAATCCTTATATATTTTACTGTATCTATTTCTTTAAAGCATTTATAGAGTTCAGAGTTGTTCTTCTTCTCCAGATATTGTTACATTTTATGCCACCAAAAATACTTCTCAAAATTTTTCTTTCAAAGGTAGAAATAATACTTTAAGCTTTTTCTGTCATCGCCCAGGTCTCAGCAGAGTATGTAAGAATGAGTCTGATTAAGCTTTTGAAAATTAAAATCTTCATTTTTCTGCTAATGAAGTTAGACTTCAAGTATTTTTTTAGACCGAAAAAACATTAGTTAGCATCTGTGACTCTTATTTACGGATCTCGGGCATTAAATCATTGAGAATATTAACCTCCGATCCTAAATATTTAAATTTGCTAACAGTTTCAAATTTTTAATTCCCAATTTCAAAATAGGGATTGCTGTTATTACCACATGGTATGTATTTAGTTTTATTTTGGTTGATTGCTTGATGCATTTTGCCCGCTGCAACCTCTCGAGATGTAAAAGCCTCTCTTAGTGACTTAGGAGTGCGTGCGACTGTCAATATCGTCAGCAAGCACAAAAATCTGAACAGATTTGTTAAAAATAGTTCCTCGAGTATTAATGTTGGAGTCTTTTATGATTTTTTGGAGGGCAAGGTTAAAAAGCAAGCAGGCCAGTGCATCACCCTGTCTGAGCCCACTTGAAACAACAATAGGCTCAGAAAGATTATTCTGCATTTTAACCCTAAGTTTTGTCTCAATAAGAGTAATGGTGACCAAATTTATAAGTTTTTGAGGTATTCTCTCATAGCTTCAATTAAATATTTTCTGTTTATTGAATCGTAGGCAGTCTTAAAATCAACAAAAAGGTGGTGCGTTGCAATGCCATATTGATTAGTTTTTTTCCAAAATTTGCCTAAGGTTAAAGATTTGTTCTGCTGTCGATCTTCCTTTGCGGAAACCACATTGGTAATCACCCACAATATTTTCTGTATAAGTTGCAAGTCTACTAAAAAGTATATTGGAAAATAATTTGTAGAAAACACAAAGGAGACTAATTTCCCTGTAGTTGGTACATTCCAAAATGTCTCCTTTTTTATGTATAGGACAGGTGATGCTTAGTTTCCAATCTTCGGGTAAAACTTCTTGATTCCAAACTGATTCGATGAGGTGGTATATTTCCTCAATGTTTTGACCTGCAGCACTTTTAATGAGTTCTGAAGTAATTAAGTCAGGGCCTGGGACCTCGTTAGTTTTGAGCTTTTCAATTCCTTCTCTAACTTCTGCCAAAGATGGTGGCGGGATACTATCGGTGTTTACAGAGGTATTTGGGTAGGTTAAAGACCCATTCTGTGTATGGTCATTCAACAAATTACTAAAGTGCTCATTCCACCTGTGGAGTACCTCTTTTCTGTCATTTATGATGATGTTGTTTTTATCTCTACAGGCAGTAGTTCTGAGCTTAAAATCTTTGTGGCCAAGATTAATTTCACAATAGAAAGCATGGCTTTCATTGGAACCCCTCAGAAGTTCAACATCCTTAAATAGGTCGTTATGAAAAAGTCTTTTCTTAAGCCGGTTGGTCGTCTTCTTCTGTTTTCTAGATCTCTTATATTCCTCAACAGACAGTCTTGAATGTCGCTTTTGAACCATATTTTTATAAGCAGCTCTTTATGTCTGTGTTACAAGGAAGCATTCATTATCAAACCAATCCCTTGGTTTGGGTTTTTCCATATATCCCAGTGTGTTGTCAGCTGAGTGTATGATCGAGTCTTTGAGCAAGCTCCACTTATTTTCCACGGTTTCCAGTTCAGTCATGTTTTTAGATCTTAGTTCTCCCTGTTTACTGCTCATAATGTCGCCAAAACCCGTGTGTAGATGGAGGTTAGAATAGAATACATGAACCTCCGTAGTACCGTATACTAGTATTAAACCGATTTTGTTTTATACGAAAATACATATTTTCTTTAGTTAAACATGCACAGCGCATGTGAGTCTCTCGATCAACATTACTGAAAACCAAAGTTGCTGGAAACTCTTTTGCCTTTCTAAAAGACTATCAAATTAGAGCTGCAAAATTGGCTCTGTGCCAGCTGCTCGAATGACGTTCACGCGATACGCAATTCGCCAAGAAAGTGATTGCTTCCAACGTCGGCTCCAAATTCACTTTTTTGGGGGGGGATTGCCGTATGAAATTTTCTAACTTTTCCAGATTTTGACTAAAATATTTAAATTCCCTGATTTTTTCCGGTTTTTCCAGTAGCGTGGCAGCCTTGCAGTGTACAGTTTGCCCGACCACTCCTGCTGTCATCAGTGTACAAGTTGACTTACTAGTGATAAGATGAATCATTTTATGCATCAAGAACTGGTGGATATGCACCTTGCATATTTGGCCGCTGAGCTTGACAAGTTTAGAAAGACCAATAGCAACTAAGCATTGTGGCGAATACTGCACAACGAGCGTGTGCATCCTTACCATCTGCAAAGGGGGCAGTTACTGCATCCTAACAATTATCCAAAGTGTGTGGAATTTGCACAATGGTTCATGCATAAAGGTGCCGTGGACTCCAGTTTTCCAGCTTCTGTCCTTTTTACAGATCTAGTTTCATTCACTTGTGAAAGTGTGTTCAATACGTACAATTCACGTATGTGGGCTTGCGACAACCCGCATGGTACGAGAAGTCACGTTGCGCAACATCGTTTTGCCATGTGTGGGCTGGAATCATTGGTGACCATTTTTTGGGACCTTACTTGCTACTGCCCCAATTGGACAGCCGGAAATATCTAGTCTTTCTCAAGACAGTGTTACTGATTTTTCTGGGCGCTGTTCCTCCGCATATCCACCGAGATATGTGGTATCAACATGATGAGGCTCTAGACAGAAGCACAACTGATGTGCGTGATTACCTGAACCGAACATTCAAAGCTCGATGGATCGGCAGAGGTTGACCGACCGCTTGGCCACCCAGGTCACCTGATTTATCACCCATGGATTTCTTTTTGTGGGGGCCATGAAAGAACATGTGTATGAGACCCTCGTCGACAGTGAAATGGACCTTGTTGCACGAATAGTGGCCGCTGCAGGAACTGTCCATAATATGCCAGGCGTTTTTTAAAATGGTCAGAGTTCAATGCAGCGGCACTGTGAATCCTGTGTTTGTGTAAGTGGTTGCAGTTTTGAGCACCTACTATAACCTGTACTTTACCTTGTTGAAGTAAAGAAGGTCACATTGTTACCACTTAACTGAAACTGTTTCTTTGTGTTAACTTTATTTGTCCATTTTATTCATGTAGATGATGTTTATGGACATACTTTCCTATGTGAAATCTATTCCCGGACATCTTCCCTACCTCCCCACAAAATTTGAACAATAATTTATAAAACTACACTATTTTATATACAAGTAACCCTTCGATAACACAGTAGATAGGTTCCTAGAAAATGCCGTGTTGTATGAGACCCAGAGGCAGTAAAAGAAGGGTGGTTACGTTCCGAAAACTTATTAAAAACAAATATTTTTTTTTAATTATACATAACAACTTAATTTTTTTAATATATATGTATGTACAACACAAAAGAGAAAATATTGCATATTTTAATTTAACACAACTTTAGTTTAATAATTTCTTCGTTGTCATTGCTCAGTATAATCAACAGAAGATGTTTTTTCGGCGGAACGAGATCACTTTCACTTTCAGAATTCTTTTCTTCATTTAAAGTTTTAACATTTCCTTCCCTCTTTAAAAAATTTGTAATTTTACTTTGCTTACTACCTCTTACCGGGTCATTTTAAATTTCTCGATATAGAGCTAGAGTTTGGCAGCTTCTTTTTGAATTTTCAGCTTATTTCAGCGGAAGGGACTCCACTCAAGAAAAATAACTCAAGATTTTCAGCTAAGCGTAGGCCTACTTTTAATATTTTAATGTTAAATTATTAACTTCACAATCTTCATCAGGGTAGTGTCCTCAGAATCGATTTGATTTACAGCTTCAGATGCCATTTCTATCAAATCTTCGTTAACTTCTTCTTCCGCTAATAAATCTTGTTCGTCCTCAATAGCCATGTGCACAAAACCTTTGCCTCTGATTGATTTAGGAAGTTCTAATAATATGCCACCAATTTCATTTTCTGACGATTCACGCACGTTTTCTATTTCAACTGAAGAGGGCCATATCTTCTTCTAACATGCATTTAGCATTGATGCTTTCAGTTCTTTCAGCTATAAAGATATGATGTCGATTTAGCTCTTGATTGAAAATATCTTCCAAGCTTCCATTACATTAATCGATTTTGATTCAGTTACATCTTAAATCTACTCTAATGCTCTTTTTATGTAATATGTTCTAAAGGTATAAATAATACCTTGATCCATTGGTTGTTGTAACGAAGAAGTGTTAGGTGGTAGGAACAGTATTTTGACATTGATTCAAATCTTGTGGGTGACATGGAGCATTATCTAATAGTAATAAGTGCCTTGAAGTTCAACTTTTCTGCATTAAATAATGTTCAGCATGTGGCACAAAACAATTTAAAAACCAATTTTTAAATATATTCCCAGCTGCCCAAGCTCTTGGATTTGCTTTCCAGTGTACCGGTAAAGTGTTTTTATTTACCCCTTTATTTGCACGAGGATTTAGAGATCTATAAACTAACAAGGGTTTTGTCATAAAGTCCAAGTCATACTGTACAAAAATAGTGTTAGACAATTTTTAGACATCTTAATTAAATCAGGATACAGTTTTTTTTTTTCTTTTTTTCCCCAAATATAAAGGCTCTACTGGGCATTTTTGTTCCACCAAAACCCAGTTTTGTTGGCATCGAAAACTTTAATTGTTGTGTATCCATCTTCTATGATATTTTGAAATCTTTCAGGAAATGTCCTAGCAACTTCATAATCAGCCGATGCTGATTTTCCTTGAATTCTTATGCTATGAATTGCAAAACGCTTTTTAAAATTTTCCAACCAACCTTTACTTACCACTTACTGGCTTGACTGGTTGTAAAATGTATATGAATCGATCAGAACCATTGCTAGCGTTTTTAGCACCCAGGACAACTGAAAGTTTTGTGCCCTATTCTGTTTGCCAAAAATGGAAGTCATTTCATTCTAAAATTTCACAACATCAATTTGGCAACACTGGATGCTACTATAGAGGTTTTCCCTTCCCCATTTTAGCTAGGCACTGTAATTGATAAAACTCAAGTTGAAGAGCTTAATAATGTTTATTTTCTTTAACACATAATTCACCATTTGAATGTGCAGCATAGAAGGGACTTGATGTAAACTGAGTGCATGCTTCTCTTTTATTGATAAAGGGATTTTCTCTGATAGAAAAGGCTTCTCACCACTAATAGTACATGATGCTGCACTTGCTATGTGAGTACAAATAGACAAAATATTCTAAATGTGACAGAACACAGTTTATTTATTGATTTATCATATCTGTTGGTCTATTTTTATTCACAACATTGAAACAACAGGTTATTTCATATACTTGTTTTGTGAATTTTATTTCGGTTTAAAAAGTGTTTTACATATTAGTTTATCTTTTTGTAGATGCAATGGGTCTCCCTGTGAGGAAATCACTTCGCATTGATAATAAACTTCGAACAATTTATTTTGTGGGCTGTCAGACTCTTACTTTCTCAGATGATAATGAACCTCGAGAATTGATGTTCCAGGGCCCACCCAGAAATGTCTATGTTGAAGGATTCGTAAGTTTTTTATTTACATTACGCACTGAATAATTATTAAATTGTTTTAAAAACAGCTTGTATAACAATTTATAATTTTTTCTTAATTTTTAGCCACATCCATTCATCTTAGGTTTTGATGGGAAAGCTGTAGAATTTGAAACTGAAGGAAAATGGAATATCATGAGGTTTGGAACTCCATTTCAAGAAATCTATATTAACAATCATCCATATGAGGCTCAGTTTGGTGGGCCTCATTTCACTGTTGTATTGGCTGACAATAAAGTTCATAGAATACGATTAGATGGACCTCCTCCTCGAGTTATTATGAGTGCTGCTCCTGCTTATGATTTGTACAAAACATATAAGAGTCTATTATTACAGCATCCAGTACAAGATCAAAGTACTGAGCAAAGACCTTTTGAATCAGCTATTCAAGCACAAGATGTTGACATGCGTTTAAAAGGCAATAAGTTACAGTATCCCCCAACTTCAGTAGAACCTACTCCTGAAAGCATGAAAGATGTTGACTGGCGTCAAATCACACCACAGGAATTCCATCAAAATTCCTGGAATATACCAAAAAGTAGTGCTATGGAGGAAACTGGTGACATTATCCAAAGCAAGTCTTATTCTGAATCTGTTGTTGTCCAGGTAATAATTGATTCCATTTCATTTTTCTAAATTAAATATGTTCACATGTAGCCTAGATTAATTTTTAAAATAGTTTATATCTTTTAATCCTGTAAATGTTAATTTTTTGCAACTGATAGTGACAATTCATCTCATACAGTGTATTTGTGCGTTTTGGATTTTATTCACCATTTGTCTGGCGCATAATAACCTTCAAGGTTTTGTGCCATTATTATATTGATCTAGACTAGTTTATTTTACTCCTTGTTTACATAGCATTAAAATCATAAAAATGATTTCTAAAGCTTTAAACAGTATTAGAGAGCAGTTTAGTTTTAGCCAATTAGAAAATTAATTTAAATAGAGCCAAATATAATGACTAAATATGTAAAGGATTAATAGTTTCATAACTAATGCTGATAACATCTGGCATCAACTGAACTGGCTTAATAACATTTGCAGTAGCATGTGTGGAGTGGACACCGCACATTAAATAGCAGATAAGAAAAAGTTCTTAAAATGTAGTAGTTTTCTACGTGCTATGTTAATGTACAAACTACTAATACAACAAATTTATGATGTTTAGCTTCACCATCATGAAAGATTGAAAGGACAAAAGGTGATGAAGAAAGCAAAACAAACTGTTTTTAATATCTTATTTTTACTTAATTTTTTAATTTAGAATTTATTTTATTTGAAAATCTGCACTATTCATTCAATTACTGCCTAACTGTGTTTAGATTTTAATTATTTGACTAACCTGTGCTTCTTTGATGGAAAAAAATAAGCGTGACAAATATCTTTTTCTCTACATTTTTACTTGACTTTTGTTCACAAATTTAATTTATCAGAATTTTTTAAGATGTCTACGTTATTGTCTTAATTGTTTTTGTTCTATTCCTTTCATTAAGGTATTTTATGTTTTGGTTATTAATTTGGCTGTTTAAGTTTTAATATTCAAACTTTTTTTTCAAATTGGTCATAGTTTTAATCTTTTAATGATTAGCAAATTTTATTAACAAGTGTTATTATTTTTACTATGTTGGAAAAATAACTTCCTCTCAGAATAGAAAGTGTTACATATTCATATGTAATAATAGCTAGCAGCAGTGCTTTATTTTATCTGTAAACAGCTTCTTCAATTTATGTCATGCAACAATATCAATGTGATTTTATGCATGTTTATAAATATGCCACATTGCAGTACAATTGATGCACATATATATACTTAACAACATGATGTTAGAGAGAGAGTAGTAAAGCTGAAGTCAAGCTGGGTGAAGTAAGGCAAGAAGATATTGGATTTGAAGTCTGATAGTAAGCTGTGTTGTATGTCAGAGAATTGTGTTCTAAATCGTATATTCATTTAATAAGGTGTCCTATTATGAATATAGTATGTTTTATTCAGCAGAGTAGTGACAACGAGAAACCTGTTATTAAGATGATTCCAGCACTAATCCAACCATTAAACCCATATCACATAATGCCAAGAATTCTTAACAGTGCATTGAAACAAAATCAGTAATTAATAATGAAAAAGAACTTTGCAGTGTTGGTAGCATAGAATGTTGAATTCGTAATGAACAGCAAACTTGGCAGTTAAGGCAGATTAAGTACTCATCGTTATTTCAATTTACATCTGCGGCCACAGTTTGTTGGCAATCTAATCATGCCTGTTCAAGAACATTTATTTACATTTTTGATACTATTGCAGTAAGAAGAAAATCAGCACACCATTGTCTTAACAGGAAGAGGTTTAATAGGAAAGTGTGCAGTTATTCAACAAGAGAAGGTTTCAATTTAACCCTTTGTTGCATACAAATAATCTAGAAAAGTTAAACGAAAATGTTTTGTATTTTTTCTACTTAAAATAACCTTAGTAATAATAAAAAAATTAATTTTATACAAATTTCGTTTTAAATAATTGCTAGTTTGTTCACTACAGTGGACAGCATGCATATATGTACATGCATACAAATCTCTTCCCAACAATTTACAGTCATTGCATTTGAAATCATTTCCTGCCTTGTTTGCAGTGATCATTACCATTTTCTAAATGGTAAATCTACAACTGACATGTACATATAGATCCTCCAAAATACCTTCATTTTGTCGATTGTGATTGAATTCATTTTGCTACGATTTTGTAACCTGTACTTATTGGATTCAAATGTCAAATGTTCTAGAAATTCCTTGCCAAACATAAACATTTGTAGTGGTGTTTTTGGCTTGATAAGCAGTACATTTGGGTTTCAATTCACTCTTTTTGGTAGATCTTTATCTACCCACTCCACAATTTTCTCAAACTGGCATTTAAAATAAAATGTCTAAAATTACTAATTATGAATAAAAAATGGCAGTGTTATATAATGTTTACTATGAGAAATTGTACTAACTTGGAAACCAGGATTTGTATGGTCCTTCAGTCCTTAAAAGTCCTTAATTTTGGCCAAAATCAGCAGGAGGTCCTTAATTTTAATGATTTGAAATTTCTGTCTGTTTTTATGACTGCCATTTTGAGTGTGAATTAGCATTTTGGAGGAATATTTTTGGTGATTCACTGACACATATCTTTTGAATGGGTTATAATTTGTTTCTGTTTCTAATATAAATGATGGGATACTCGAGTTTCTAAGCAAGAAGTGAAACATAAGCATTTTGAAATTCACTTTTTCTAATAAAGAAATCTTAAACAACTTTCAGTGTGAATTCATTTATTAAACAGTTCTAAACTTGGCGACTTGTCAACATTTTGGCGATTTTAAGATCAGTTTCTATAGAAAATTTTTAAATTCCGAGATCTGAGAATTTTTAGACGTTTTTTTTAAAACATCACAACACTGATAATTTCATTAAAATAATGGTAATATATTGAAATTATATTTAAAAAATAACATTAAAATAAAACATCTCTATTTTTCGCTATCATATTATTTATTTATTATTAAGTTTCATTTGGCAACTTATTATGCAATATTATGAATCTGAAAAATAAGGCATAATGCTATAAAGCATAATTTACGAAACAGCTCTTAACAAGAGCAAAATTAGCTATGTAATTAATTAAAAATGTCTTTTTTTAAAAAATTTTCCATAGTAAGCATTTCCCCTGTCTCAGAATATTCAAAATTCTCCAAATATGCATCAATTTTCTCTATAAAATTAATTTTATACTTTTTCCCTCCTTTTTTTTTTTTTTTTTTTTCCAAAATATTTCTGCCTTTTTGCTGTTACAGAATTGATAGGGATAATTGTTCTCTAGTATTTTAGACATTGCAGCTCTGAAAGTCTAGAAGGATTTGAAGGCATGATTTATAGACCCACGATTCTAGAAGATTCGAGAAATATGTGAGAAAATGAAAAATGTCTCCATGGTATCAACATGTAATGGATGTATTTTACAGAAAGTTTGCGATGAATTTCTCACTTTTGAGAACGTCTGGAAGAGAACAAGGAAAACATAATATTTGAATGTTTTACTTCCATTCTGAATCTTTTTCCTAACATGTTTATCTTCCCTTTTTCTCTACTTCTCACTAGACACAGTATGGAAAATATCAAAAACTGCTTCTAATCTTATCACTTCGCCAGACATTATAGAAAGGGATTTTTATTAATAAAGAAATTGAAATTTACAATTAAAGATTCATCTAATATGTCTTAATGCATCAACACATAGCTGGAACCTGATGGCATTTCCCACTGATGCAGTCTGTGGATCCTAAATTCTGCTGCCTAGTGCCTTTCTAAATTCTGCTTCCAGTGCCTGCTCTAAATTCTAAAAGTTTTGCTATTTCTAGATTTTGTTGTTCGGTGTGTCACTAAGAATCTGTCTAAGAATTCTAAGAATGTCTAAGAATTCTGCCACATCAGCTTTGTAACCGGGCTTTACCATACATACTTCATATTTCTTTTGAATGTTCATATTACTAAAGGAATAAAATTAGCTACTTTTTCTATACATTCTAAATGCATTTAGTGTTTTTTTGGAATAACAGAAATCCTTAGTTAGATTCAAAAATTCTGAAATGAAAAGGAAACATGTTAAAGAAAGAAACTGAGAACATAAAGAAAATTACTCTTCAAAGATATGTGCAGTTGTTATTATGTAATTTACCTGTTGTTATGATTTCAGCCTTTCAGTTTATGATTCAGTCGAGGGTTTGGGACTATTTAACTTTTGCCAAAACCTCATAGGTACCTTGGGAGAGTTGACAAGTTTGAAAAAAGCAGCAGAAACTAGCGAGAGATTGGTTGCATATGAGACAAATCTCTAATTGTTGGAAAGATGCTTAAAGAGAAGGAAATCAATAACTAGCCAAAAGTTTGGGAGGCTTCAAATTAAATGAAGGAGAAATATTTTGTTGCGTGTTGTTGTTATAAAACTTAAATGTTTGTAGCTTTAATGTGCTCTAATATCGTTAGAATCAATGTCATAAATTATATATATATTTTAAACTGTGAAATTTATTATCTTTGTTTAATAGGCTTTCTTACAAATATGTTAAAAATAAAATTTAATAGGACCTTTAAATCCATAATGACTAAGGTTATCTAATTACCTAATTTAATCATTTATAATTAACTGTTACCCTTAAAATTATCTCGCATATTAAGAGGCTATTGCCTTCATTGATATTCATGTGGTCACAAAATAAAACACAAAAATGTAAAAATTTCAAGTAAAGCTTATGCTTTGCTATAATGAAACTTAAAAATAATACAAAAAAAAATTACATCTCTGGACTTTAACGCTTATTGGAACATTAAAGTATATTAATGAGCACAACCCCATGGACTCTACACAAAGCTATGACACTAACTGCATCAAACGGAGCCTGACTAACTTTCAACACTTCCCATGTGTTACATCAGGCCGTCAGGTTGGTTCTAATGAGCAGGTCTCTCTCTAGACAAGCAACAGTGGTGACACCTTCGTCTTTGTTATGAGTCATGCTGATTATGATCTTACTTTCATTTTAACCTAGCCTTTTGACATAAATTACCTGCTATTACTACCT